CTTATCAAAGCTCGATTTTTGAATTCGTATAACTAATTGCGGATAAATATAATCAAATAGAGGATAAACATCTTATTTTAAAATACAAAAAATCTAAAATATAATTAGGATAATTATCGAGTTCTGACAAAATAATTAATTATTATCTTTATAAGAAAATTATATTATTAAACCAAATATAAATTACTTCGTTATTGTACCTAAAATTAAATTATAATATAAAAAATGAATTAAAAAATTACACAAAAAATGAGGAATTTTAAATAGTTAATTTGATACGATTATCGGTATATTTTTGTCAAATTTTTATGATATTTTCAAACATATATTTTATTAAAAAATTAAAACATCATCGCTTTCTCAAAATCACACAAAGTCATATTATAACATCGACTGAGATAAAGAATAAAATGAATATTAAAATCACGATGTATCTCGTTGCATTGCGCGAGTACGCTTCTAGTGTGAACTAATGATGATTCATACAAATACTAGGAGCATACGTGGTTCTCTCGAGACTGGTCGTGACATGTAAATTGGTCTGAAAACACGTGATTATCCAAAAAAGAAATAAGAGTGTAATTGTTTGATTCTGTAAGATCTAAGATTTTACTGTAAATCGGAAATTAAAAAAACAATAAAATGTCTAGAAATAAAAAACACAATTCAAAATTTATGGTTAAAAGAAACTGGTCGAACGTGTTTTGTTGTTTTGAAAACCGGTAAACAAAAACCTGATTATTTGATTAAAAGTTGTATTATAATTAAAACATTCTAAATTTAAAAATAAAGATATAATTTATTTTGATTTTAGTAATACAATTTTGGATAAAGATAATAATATAGTATAGTATAGTATATATTAATGGTTATCTTTTATTTAAATGAGAAGAAAACTCGTACAATGTAACGAGATACATCTCGATTTTACTGTTTTTTTTTGTCTCAGTCGATGTTATGACACGGTTTAATTTATGTGTTTTTTAGAAAGTGATAATGTTTTTATTTTTGAATAAAAATATAAATATGAAGATACCATAAAAAAGTGGGAAAAAAATATTGATATTAGTACTAAACTAACTATTTAAAAATTCTTCTTTTTTATTTTTAATTTATTTTTTTATTTTTAATTTAATAATATAATTTTTTATAAAGATTATAATTAATTATTTTGTTATAACTCAATTATTATCTTAATTATATTTTAGATTTTTTATATTTAAAATGAGATGTCTATTCTCTATTTGATTATGTTTATTTACAGTTAGTTACACGAATTCAAACATAAAACTTTAATAGATTGTACTTACACACAATTTACTTATAATCTTGAATTTTAAGTAATATACATCAATAAACAGTACTTCGTGTATACAAAATGATTTTTAATTTTTTTTTTATCAAATGAGTTATAACATAGTACAATTGTATTAATGAATCGATTATTTGTTAGTTTAACCCTAATTTAAAAAATCTTTAAAAATCCGTTTGTATGTTATAATAACTTGTAACTTGAGGTTAAGATTATTGCGATAATAAACAAAACATTATACTTAATACTAAATAATTTACAATCTATACTATATTATAAAACATTTGACAAAAACTCTTAAAAACGATTTTTTTATGCACAAAGTATTGTTTATTGATGCATATTACTTAAAATTTAAGATTACAAGTAAATTGTGCATAAGTACAACTTATTAAAGCTTCATACTTAAATTCGTTTAACTAACTGCAGATAAACATAATCAAATACAAGATAAACATCTCATTTTAAATATAAAAAATCTAAAATATAATTATGATAATCATTGATAACTAACATAATTTAATTAAGAAAATCACACCAAAACACAAGAACTTTTAAAAATAATAATTTAATATTAATATCGATATTTTTTTTCAAAATTTTATGGTATTTTTAAATTTATATTTTATTCAAAAATAAAAATATTATCACTTTCGCAAAACCATATAAAACTAATGTTTACTTAAAATTCAAGATTAAAAGTGAATTATGCAAAAAGTACAACTTATTAAAGCTCGATGTTTGAATTTGTATAACTAATTGCAGATAAATATAATCAAATAGAGGATAAACATCTTATTTTAAAATATAAAAAATCTAAAATATAATTARKATAWTTATCGAGTTTTAACAAAATAATTAATTATTATCTTTATAAGAAAATTATATTATTAAATCAAATATAAATTACTTCGTTATTGTACCTAAATTAAATTACAATAAAAAAAAATTAAATTAAAAATTTACACAAAAAATGAGAAATTTTAAATAGTTAATTTTAAGTAAATATTGATTTTATGTGGTTTTGAGAAAGTGATAATGTTTTTATTTTTGAACAAAATATAAATTTAAAAATATCATAAAATTTTAAAAAAAAATATCGATATCAGTATTAAATTAATTTTTTTAAAAGTTATTGTATTTTTTTTTATAACAAACAAATTTAATTTAGGTTTATAATATATTTTTTTATAAAGATAATAACTAATTATTCTATTAGTTATTAATAATTATCCTAATTATATTTTAAATTTTTTTATATTTAAATGAGATGTTTAAATGATTTGAAACCAATCAACCCAACCATTAACATCCTGATATAAACATACTTAAATGCAGGTTTCATTGAAGTACTGTTAAAAGTTATCATATTCTAGCTCAAAAAATATGTACATATATATATATATAACACGGTACTCCCACAGAAATACAAGAGAGCCCATTGTCTTCCTCCACAAACAGATATTTTCTCCCCAATCACCTTCTTTTCTCTTCTTAATTTTCTCCTCAAATTCCGATCCACCCAAACTCAAATCGCTCATCAATCACACATTCTTTTAAATAAACACCCAAGAAACAACAAAGGAGACGAGAATGGCCAAGAAAAGGGTCTCAAGAATCGGCAATTATGCTGCCATTGCAGACCCTAATTCTTTTTCATGCACAACCTTCAACATCCTTGCACCCATCTATAAACGCCTTGTTCACCAGGTAAAACCCATCTCTTGTTTCTCTAATCTTTTCACTTCTTCCAACACCAAATTCAAAACTTTCCTTAATATTTATGGTGTTGTGTTATTTGGGTTTTTTCTTTTCAAGATTTTGCCTTCTTGGCAAATGTTATTCTTGAATCTTGGTGGGTTTTGATTCTTTTTTTCAAATTATGCTCTATTTCTGGGTAAGAACAGGATCTTGCTTGCAGAGAAAGCGAAATCAGAGCGTACTGGTTGAGTAGGAATGAAAGGATTTTGGATTTGCTCTTGTGTGAAAAATCTTCAATCATCTGTCTACAGGTTCCAATAACTTTCATATTTTCAAACCCTTTTCTCTTATCTTTTTATTTGTATGGAAATATTCATCTTTTTTCACTTTGAAATAGGAGTTTTGGGTTGGAAACGATGAACTTGTTAACATGTATGACACAAGGCTTAGTGATGCAGGATACATCAATTTCAGGCTTGCACGTACCAACAATCGTGGTGATGGTAAGTTATTGCTCAATTGCAATTTGTTTATGATTTCACATTTTCTGTTTGTAATTGGGAATATGATCAAGTAGGAGAGATTCAATCTTTTTTGTTTCTTTTGGTGTCTTATTTGTAAAGCTGAGTAGGAAAATTTGTCTGCATTACCTACCCAACAATACAAACAAATGAAAGAATCTGTCTGCACAAGGACTTATTCAATTTGGGCATCTAGTCTCTGTTATGTTCCTATATGGTTTAAACTATAAATATATATCCAATGGTGTCATTATCATCTCTGATTATTGGCAAATTGAAGACCCTTTTCATGTTTTACAAATCTTAAGGTTTTTATGTTGGAATATAACAGGGTTGTTGACAGCAGTCCATAAAGATTACTTTCGGGTCATAGACCATCGAGAGTTCCTCTTTAATGATTTTGGAGATCGTGTTGCTCAGCTTTTACATGTTGAAGTAATTGCCCCCTTCAATCAGTGCAGAAACAACATTGCTTGCCAAGAAATTCTTATAGTTAACACCCACTTATTGTTCCCACACGATTCGAGCATGTGTTTGGAGAGATTGCGCCAGGTAAACCATCCTCCATGATGATATACATATTAATACATACATACATAGGGTCCAATTTAGGGGAAAACCTCAAAAAATGAAAAATTGAGGAACAACCCGGTAACCATTTTTGTATGCACAAGTAATTTGTCCGGTATGAACATGTTACACGTGCATTAAACAACTTCAACTACTTGTATCTACATGTACATATCATACAGATTAATGGTTATCAGGGTATTCCTCAGTTTTTCATTTTTTTGGGTTTCCTGAACCTCGCCTCCCCCTCTCTCTCTATATATGGAAATGTTTGTGGTATCTTCTGTTTTTGATCAGTGTACTAATACCAATTGTGGGTTTAATAGGTGTACAAGATCCTGCAATCTGTTGAAGCTTATCAAAAAGAAAACAATCTTAGTCCGTTGCCCATCATTCTTTGCGGGTAATTATGATATTGGTCTATTTACCTTGTAAACTTTGAGGAAACTTTCTTATATTTACTTTGTATGCTAAATATAATCTTTATATGTTTCTTTATTGTAAGTGACTGGAATGGGAGCAAACGAGGCCATGTTTTCAAGTTCCTTAGATCACAGGGATTCGTGTCATCATATGATACTGCACATCAGTACACTGATGCTGATGCACATAAGGTTGATTTCAGTCACTTGTTCGTAATCCTCTTGTTTCTTTATGGCATTTTATAATCAAGATTTCGCCTTTATGCAGTGGGTTAGCCATAGAAATCATCGAGGAAACATATGTGGTGTAGATTTCATATGGCTTCTTAATCCAAATAAGTACAGGAAAGTACTGAAAACAAGTTGGAGCGACGCAGTCTTTGGACTATTCAAGGTACACAACCTTTTGGTTAAAATTACTTGTTAATTTCACTTTATTGTTTGTGATTAGTTGCCTTTAACCTATGGCTATGAAAGAAAGTTAGTAACTCTTAGATTTGGGGATTCAGTATGGCTCATCGCTTTCTGATGCTGGCTGCCAGTGTTATTAAGCAGTGAGTTATCTCTAATCTTTTTGATGCTTAATTTGAAGATGGTCTTTCCTTTTTTTTCCTAATTTTTTTTGCTTAAAAGACATTACATATATGTATACATATATAGGGTCAGGTTCAGGGAAAAACCACAAAAAAGTGAAAAGTGGAGGAACACCCTGTATGCACATGTGCATACAAGTAATTCGTAAGGAATTTGTCCAGTATGCACATATGCATAACATGCACACGTGCATAGAAACCAAGAAATAACTTCAACTATTTGCATGCACATGTGCATACCGTACAAATGAATCGTTACCGGTGTGTTCCTCAAATTTTCTTTTTTTGGGGGCTTTCCTCTGAGCCCCTCTCTCTGTATATATGTATATGCATGATTATAACATTATTCCTCTCTAACCAAGGCTTTTTATTTTCAGTATCATGTGAGACGGGCTTCACTCATTGAAGAAGATGCATATGCATTTCTTAAGGCTGATAATGATGGTGATTATATTACTTACTCGGGTTTTTGTGAAGCATTGCGCCAGGTATCTACATTATCGTATAGAATTGTACAAAGTATGTCACCTCCATCGGAAATGTGAACCTTTTATGTCTCTTTTTATGTAGCTTAATTTTATTGGTCATCCGAATGGCCTCAGTAAGGAGGAGACGAAAGACCTCTGGGTTCAAGCCGACATTGATGGCAATGGCGTTCTTGATTATAAAGAATTCCAGGTACCAACTTTGTTTTCTTTGAACTTGTTATTTTATATATACTAGTTGTGTACCCGCGCAATGCGGCGGGAGCCATGAATTTTAACGATTTGGAAGTTCCACTGGTTCTATAAGATAAGATTTAACGATGATGTAAGTTACACTTGGTCTTTACATATTAATACAGTTTGAATACATAAGAGTTATGGTTCCAATTACAGACTATCGATGAAAAAAATTGTATGACAGTTTAAAATCCAATATATTTAAAATCCAACATATTTAAACGACTCTACAAATGTATTTGATTTACATCAAGAGCAAAGAACCAAGAAACTTGAGTTTTAAGATAAACACTCAAAACCAATAAAAAAACTACAAATTTGACAGATCATAAGCCATGAAAAGACAAAAAAAAGATGGGTTTTAGAATAAAATTTCAACTGCTTACCCTCTTTTTTGTCCAGAAACTCATATTAAGGTTGAATTAATACATGTATATATATATATATATATATATATATCAAAAAAACTCAAAAACATATTATACAGTGCAATTTGGACAGCCTAACCCCAAAATATATAGTATATATATAAATAAATAACTATAAAAGTATAAATCATAAATATTAAAAATATTTTTTCACAGTATATATAATATATAATAATATAATTAAGTCAAAAACTATTCAATATTGGACTCATTTCGAAGGTATTAACGAGACGATTATAATGGTGTAACTTGTTAAAATAAAAATGTATTTTTTAAACATGTTTTAATTGATATTCGATTATTTATGTTAATTTGATAAAGGTTTAAAATGAAACATTTAAAAGTAAATGACGATAAGTAAATTAATTAATTAATTATAGGGGTATAAAATGTAAATTTAAAATTATAATTTTAAAAAAATTGGTTGTGAGAGTGTGAGCGAATGTGAGGAGAGGAGTGGGTGAAAAAGTGAGTATAAAGGGTATTTTGGTCATTCAGAATTTTAAGACTTTAAGACTTTTACTAAATTTGCTTAATAAGATAGTATAGATATATATATATATATATATGTATGTATGTATATATCTATACTGTATTATAAAGCATTTAGTTAAGGGGTTATTTGGTTGGTTTTTCATTAAGTCATGTGGGAGGGGCAGGCTTTGAAAAACTTGGCTTTCTGCATACGACTTCCCCAATAAACTTACTGAATAAGCCACTTTCTATACTATTAAGCCACTACCAAACAGTGATGTATAGCTGACAGAATAAGCTGTGAGGCTCATGAAGCTCATTAAGCTGTTAACTAACAGGCCCTAAAAGTCTTATAAGCAACTTATTAAGTGTTATCCCTTTAATTTCAAGTTTAGAAGTAACCACTGCATACGTGTAGTTTTTAAAGCTCTTTGAAGTCCATGAGTACACATCTAGGATGGTATATATGGGAGTCCTTTTTATATAAAGTTTATGTATCGGGTTATGGCTGTATTAAATTTATATCGGCCTTTGACAAAGCAGCAACGGATATGGAAACCTATGAAGTATGAACAAACAGAAGATGCAATCAAGATCCAAGAAGATGTCGTGAATGGCACACAACTGACTATAGGGTACAACGTGAAGAATGCGGTACTCTATCCATCTGAAGCAGAAAAAGGAACGTGGCCGGATGATTACTCACTCTCTGATCATGCCCGTCTCACTGTTGCATTTTCACCTGTTAAAATGCCACGCTCTCGCCTCGTTTCTTGATGATGGTTGTCAAGTTCAGGTCATGCCTGACTTTGTCGAGAAACAAAGAATGATGGTTGAGTTGTCAAGTTCAGGTCATGCCTGACTTTGTGTTCAGGCATGACCTGAACCCGGAAACGTCTTTGAAGGTATGGTAAATGATCTCGGAGAAATATTGGCGCCGATGATGGATTTTCGGTCAGTGCTTTAGGAAGCCTCAACCTTGGGGACCTGGTTATAGGATTTGAAGATGCTGAATTAAATTTTGGAACATGTATTATTGGGTTAGGAAGATACTATAATCCAGTTTCAAGCACGTTCTTTATTTTAGATGCTCAGGGTCTTCAATTAACTGGTTTGGTTTTATCTGGTGATTTGTTATTCCTATAATTTATAAATAGTTTATTTTCTACTAGAAGGGTATTCGCACAATGCAGCGAGACACGTCTTGACTTTAATGTTTTGTGTTTTTTTGTCTCAGTCGATGTTATAATACGATTATATATGGTTTTGAAAAAATGATGATGTTTTTATTTTTAACTAGGATATAAGTATGAAGATATCATAAAGAATTGAAAAAAAATTATTATATCAATGCTAAACTAACTATTTAGAATTTTTTTTTGTATTTCTTTAATTTTTTTTGTTTAATAATATATTTCTTTATAAGAATAATAAATAAGTAATATGCATTAATAAACAGTACTTCATGCATAAAAAATAATTTTTAAGAGTTTTTGTCAAATGTTCTATAATATAGTATAGATAATATATTTTTAAAAAAATTATTAATTAATTATGATATGTGAGGTAAACTATTTTTATTC